TATACTAAAGAAATTTATCCTGTTGAACTTACTTTAAATAAAGCTAATACTAACAATGACCACTGTCCTTTCCTCGATCTTGATATCTATATCATTAACGGAAAGCTTAATATTAAAATATATGATAAAAGAGATGATTTTTCATTTCCTATCGTTAATTATCCATTTTTAGATGGTGACGTTCCCTTGTCACCATCTTACGGTGTTTATATATCTCAACTTGTACGATTCGCTCGTGTATGTAACAATGTTTTAGATTTTAACGAGAGAAATTTATGTATTACTGAAAAATTATTACACCAGGGTTTTCGATATCACAAACTAGTCAAAACATTTACTAAATTTTATCATCGGTATAAGGACATCATTCGTAAATATAGCTCAACATGCAGACTTCTTATACGTTCAGGTATTTCACATCCAATTTTTTATGGAAATATTCTTTATAAAGCACAAAAATGTCAGTATTCACCTCTGAAGCTAACAAAACCTTTAAATAGACTTATTAAGAAGGGATATAGTTACGATACTGTTGTCAGGTCATTAAAGATTGCATATTTTGGCGTTAATATTGATTCACTTATAGGGTCTTTGCATCGGCACTAAACACATTTATTTAAAAACCAGTTGTTGACATGACACGGGTTATGTTCTTCTTATATATGTTATGATGGTATGATACTAAACCCCTAACGGGAAGGATTGTGCCTGATATTCATATGATGAAGACATAATCTTTCAATCAGTTTAATTGAAGTCTGAAGCTGGCATGTCAGTTAACTGCTAGTAGTCTGTTGTTATTTATGTATTATTGTCATTTTGTTTATTTTCTTTGGTTACATCTTCTGACATCAGACTCGGACTTCTCTTGAACTGAATTTTAATGTGCGTATTGTTATGCGATTACTTTTCTACATTGGCTAGAGGTATAGGGGGAGGGTTGAGATCTCAAAAACATGTTTAACCCCGCCGCATTTTTGCGCCTGTCCCAAGTCAGGAGCCTCTAGCCTTTGTTAGTCTTGTATTATTTTTAATTTTAGTTTCTTGTGTACAATTTGGAGTTTATTAAGGCGTTCATTATCACTGAACTAGTATATATATTTGTTTAGGGGCCAGCTGAAGGACGCCTCCGGGTGCGGGAATTTCTCGCTGCATTGAAGACCTGTTGGTGACCTTCTGCTGTTGTCTGTTCTATGGTCGGGTTGTTGTCTCTTTGACACATTCCCCATTTCCATTCACAATTTTATTTACAATTTGTAAAAGTAAACCATCATAGGTCAAAGGAGGTCTTCAACACGGAGCCTTGACTCACACCGAACATCAAGCTATAAGGGGCCCCAAAAATGACTAGTGTAAAACCATTCAAACGGGAAAACCAACGGTCTAATCTATATAAAAAACGACAAACGACAAACACTTATGAACCACATCAACAAACGACAACCACTGAATACATGTGTATCAGGTAATAGATTAGCACATAAGATTTGATGTAATCTTTCCTCTAGTAGTATAGAACGAGATTCTGAAATCCCTAATTTAAAGAACTGTCAAAGGTGATTTCACAAGGTTCTATGAACTGTCTATCAAAAATATAAATCGTAAATATAAAACAAAGTTAAAACAAGGTTTGATGAGTACTGTGTAGTAATTTTCATAGTTTATCCTGAATTTTCAGTAATATTTACAAACTCTGTGGATAACATTTTCATTATAGAACAACTGTTTCAATAAATGCATTGTTGTTTTAAGGAAGGTCATCTGTGTGGCCTAGATCTGTTTTCCTTTTAATTCAACAAGCCTGTAAGAAGAAATGGCAATGCCTCAGTCTATAAAGCATGCATTCAATAAAAGAAATAAGTTAACAAACATATAGTAATATGAGATATTTGGAAGGAATAATACAACAGCTCAATGTGATGACTTATGACTACACGTTACCGCTATTTAAAATATGTGCCTGACATTTTAATATTTGGCAAACATACTGTACAACATCAAATGAAATGTAAACGCTTCAAGCCAGGAATATGTCAGTTGTTTTCCTTTCGATTGATGTGGAAAGTAAAAGCACAAAAATACCAAACTCCAAGGAAAATTTAAAACGGAAAGTCCCTAATCAAATGGCAAAATCAAACGCTCAAACTAATGGATAACAACTTTCATATTATTGACTTGGTACAGGCATTTTATTATATATTAAATGGTGGATTAAACCTGATTTTATAGCTAGCTAAACCTCTCACGTGTGGTTGAGCCTTTTATTTTGCCATCTGATAAGGGACTTTCAAATTTGAATTTCCTTAGAGGTCGGTATTTTTGTTGTTCTACATTTTTCACAATATATGGAATAGCCAGATGAAGCATGGTGCCAATTAGGAAATAACCTTGTTGCATTCTAAGCTCCGACGGCATCAATTGGTGATTTGATGGTCGCAAATTAAGTTTACTGGCGACGCGTTAGCGGAGCCAGTCAACGGGTATTTGCGACCATCAAATCACCAATCGATGCCGTCGGAGCTTAAAATACAATACTGTTATCTCCATTCTAATAAAACTGACAGAAACAACGTCAAATCATACATTTTAAATCTGTCATAAGTCGTCTGCGCTTGCGAATTGATGCCGTGAATATTAGTGACGTTATCCAATTAAAATGAACGGTACAAACTATGTTGCATTAGAATGACTGGTATTTCCTTAGCAAAATACTACAAAAATGGGTTGCGGAATGACTAACGACAAGCTGGACAGACAAATATCTTTAGAAGCCATGTTATAGATATAATACAACATGTTCAACAGGTGTAATCAAAATAAAAAGTCTAAGTAGGACTGACATCACAAAAGAAAAAGGCAAATGCCATAAAGCCTGAAAATAAACCTTCTCAATTTAATAAAACGTGGTTCTGGCGATCATTATTTGGTATTTGAATTGATTGGGCAAAAGAATATAAACATCTATGGTGTACACACTCTGGTTATTAAGTTTACTACAGATGAAAAACAAATCTTACTTTTTTCACAAATAAAACGCTTTCCATCTGTACATGGGTCATCATTCCATTTCAAGTTATATTTAAGTTTCATTTGAAGGCAATGTTCGTCTCCGTTCGAATTGCTTGGTTGGTTGACATTCCAGTCATTAAAGGTGATATCAGTCTGACTAGTGGACCATATCCAATCGCCTTCTTTTTCTTTGTCTGTTCCGCCTAACCAGAAGGCTGTCAATGAAACTTTATTTTAATAAACATATCCAAAATAAATATTGTGTGCATGACTATTAAGGTAAACAATTTCTTAGTCTTAAATCTATATTTAAAAACAAATGTATGAAACCTAGAATTACAAATTAATAGTGAGATTAGATTAATTTGCAAAAATAGATCGTTGGTGATACAGGAATTTATTCATACGAACAAGGTGTTGCAGTTAGTAACATCTGGATATAAAAAAAAACTAATGATCAGTTTGTACACTTCCGGAGCACATCACTTCAGTTCTTTGGTGGGGTTCGTGTTGCTTAGTCTTTTTTCTATAAGTTTTGTGTACTATTGTTTGTCTGTTTATAGATATTAGAAGATGTGGTATGAGTGCCAATGAGACAACTCTCCATCCAAGTCACAATTTGTAAAAGAAAAACCATTATAGGTCAAAGGACGGTCTTCAACACGGATCCTTGGCTCACACTAAACAGCAATCTCTAAACGGCCCCCAAAATGACTAGTGTAAAACCATTCAAACGAGAAAACTAATCGATATAAAAAGCGAGAAACGAGAAACACTTATGAACCATATCAGCAAACGACAACTACTGAACATCAGGTTCCTGACTTAGGACAGGTGCAAACAAATGCATCGGGTATAAAGGTTTTAATAGGTACCAACCTTCACCCTTACCTGAAACAATAGTGTAACATCCCAACATAGAAAGACACACTATAAAATATCAATTGAAATGGTTTTACTCTATCAAAAGACATATTAACACAGGTGCACATACACTGAACGAATAAATTTGATCTATGACACAATGTATATACAAATTCAATAAAATAAGGGGTGAATGAATAAAGGCAACAGTAATATACTGCTGTGATATGTTAAATAATTTCTGAAAGTCAACCATAGCCTTGAACAAAATGCCGCCAAATAGAATAATGTACACAGGTAAATGAAAATAATTTTGTTGTAAGGTATACAGTTTAAATGGAGAACGTAATATTGTTTTACAAAATAGATAATTTTGTTGTTCATAGTACGAGAATAGAAGTGACAATTTATAGTAATACCAAAAATGCTGTTTGTCTTTTTTTTTTAGACATGGTGTTTTCAGTTTATTTTCGATTTATGAGTTTGAATGTCCCTCTGGTATCTTTTGCCCCTCTTTTGTATCTTATTTGAACTATTGCATTTCTCTTGTGCCTACGGATACGTTTAGGCGAGAAAGATGCAACCTTTTTATTTTAATATAAATTGAAAAATAAGAATTTTAAATGTAAAATATGTTATTAGTTATGATTGAATTATATATACATACATGAATCATATCCTGTTGCCTTTGTGTTCAAAAACTCCAGTTCACAACTTGATATTACTTCTACAAGCATACTGCCGTAACTTTCGCAAATAGACTACAATGAATATTATATATCATGGTATCACAATGTTTATTTCCCTTTTCATATTTTAATTGCAAAAAGTCAAGAGTTTATGTATAATTTTTTTTTTTAAATTCTTATAATAAACTTGAAAAAAAATATAAAAATTCTTATTGTTTTTGTTTTCAATATTTATGTTATTTGTGTTTAGAGCACATTGAGGAAAGATGAGTATTTAAGAAGTTTTTTTTTTTTTTTTTTTTTTTTTTTTTTTTTTTTTTTTTTTTTATTCAACAACAATATTGCACATGCTGTTAACAGATTTCTTCACTGGTACAGCTATTTCAGTGGAGATCCCTGTATATTAGTACCTTAAGACCAGGGTATCTTCAGGTATATATTTATAATTTTGTTAGTATGTATATTATATGTCTTTAATACATTGTTTATCATTAATACATTATTTCTCTATTATTTTACTATTATAATTCTGAATATGAACTTTATATATATAGTAAAAAAACAGTTTTCTTTAATATACAATCAATTGCTACTATCTGATAGATGCTGAGAATAAAACAGAATAACGGGTTATGTTAGCGTGTTCGGAATTTGGTTTGTGGTTTAATATATTTCTCTGTTGTCCGGTATAGATAACGGTTTTTCAGTTGTAGTATTTTTGTGTGGATTAATTGCTTTCACCACGTGTCTCCCAAATATAATTGTATTAGGCACGGAAGGTATGTACACAAAAAAAAAATTGGTCTCATATAGTAAGCATAATTTATATATCTTCCGTATAATCTAAAATTATAGTATATCAATTTGTGGTAGAAATAAGTGGTACTTTCACTTTCAAAACTCATTGAAATTGTAAAATGAAATGATCATCTATCAAACCGTTCTGTTAAATTACATATATAATAACAATATTGACAATAATATAACAATGTTGTCAAATATAAGAATGTATCTTTTCTAGTATCCCTTTTCCTTCAATATTAATATATTTTTTTTGTAATAATAATCCTTTTTTAAATTCTGACCTAAAAACATTATATAGATTGATTTTTTTTGTCCTATATTCTGACAAATAGTGTATTTTGTGTATAGTGAACACAATAACTGTAAGTAAAAAGTTTATTTCATAATAATGTTCATCATTAATTTTATATCCCCAGATTAAATTTTTTTCAGTGAAAATGTGTCTACCAATCTTAGCTATTTCAAATAACTTATATATTTCCCCCCAAAACTCATCTAAAAAGTGGCACGTTACAAAAAAATGTTCATAGTCTTCTGTAAGGTTGCAAAAATTACAGGTAGAGTTATGGCTTATTTTCCATTGTTTTAACAACACTTTGTTTGGAAGAATAAAGTGTAATAGTTTCCATCTGCACATTTTTAATTTATTATCTTTTAAATAGTTATGAATAAATTTTTGCATATATTGAGCTTCACTTTGTATATTTTCACATTTTAATATTCTGTTCCACTTATGATACCCTATTGGAACTTCTTTATCATATTCTATTAAAATTGTATAAATTTTCTTCGAATCTAATTTTTCTAGTTTTTGTTTGCAATTATTTTTTTCACATATATATAGTGAGTTATTTGTTAAAACACTAGTTTTTATTGAACTTTCTTCATTTAATATTTTTAACCATTCTTTTGGAATTGCTTTTCTTAATTTTGAGAATTCAGCTATCCAATTCGATTTATTCTTTAATTTTAAACTTATAATTTTTTCTGAAAAGACTCCATTTTCATCAATAATATCATTTATATGAATGATATTGCTATCTATCCAGTTTTGGAAAAGCAGTGTTTTCTTTTGAAATTTGATCAATTGATTTCCCCAAATGACTTCTTGGCGGATAAGTCTGTAATTATTTGGATGTTTAGTTTTATTATTTTTATTTTTTAACCATACTTTAATCATATCAAGATAAAATTCTGGTAGCTCTTTAGTACCTGGTAGCGAGTATATATTATAAGTATTCATTCTTAAGATAAGTAGATTGCTACCAAATTTATTTAGATAAAATTTTGGTATAACCATCCAATTAAGAAATTTATCAGCAGTTAATCTTTTTATCCAACCTATTTTAATAGATTCTATATATTTATCTATATTTACCATTTTTAATCCGCCATCTAGTTGGTTGAAGCTTAATACAGTGCGTTTAACTTTTTCTGTCTTATTGTTCCATAGAAATTCATATATAATTTTTTTAATTTTATCTAAAGACTCTTTGCCCAAGGTTGAGACTGTAGCCAAATAAGTAATTATAGGAATAACTAAAGATTTAATAACTGTTATTCTTCCTATCATGGTTAAGTTTCTTTTTTTCCAATTAGATATAATTTTTACAGACTTTTCTAGCTGTTTTTCAAAATTTAGTTTAAGACACTCTTCTTTGTTATGCCCAAAATATATCCCCAGACTTTTAACTGGTTTATCTGTAAAGTTAATATTTTCATATTTTTCTTTACAATGTCTTTGTTTCCCTAGCCAAATACCCTCCGTTTTAGATCTGTTAAGTTTTAATCCTGACAGTGAACCAAATGTTTCAATCATGTTAAGAGCTTTTGAAATATCTTGTTTTGATTTGAGAAAAAGAGTGGTGTCATCTGCTAGCTGACTTATTTTTAAAGTATGGGTTTTTCCATCTATCTTGATTTCAAATCCTTTAAGGTTATGGTCTTGCCTAATTTTATAAGCTAGAATCTCCACAGCAATAACAAAAATTATCGCACTACATGGACAGCCTTGACGTATTCCACGATATATACTCATGGGTTTTGAAATCCACCCATTATTTAAAACTGAACTTTTTATGTCAGAATATAAAAGTTTTATCCATCTCATCATGGAATTTTTAAATCCAAATTTTTGTAAAGCAAAGAACATAAAATCCCACTCTAATGAATCGAATGCCTTTGAAAAATCTAAGAATAATAAAGCGCCCTCTATATTAAATTTGTCTGCATAATCTATGACATCTTGAATTTGTCTAATATTATATCCTATATATCTGTTTTTAACATACCCATTTTGATCTCCATGAATAATTTGGGGTAATATTTTGATGATTCTTTGAGCAAGTGAATAAGCAACTAATTTTGTGTCAACATTCAATAATGTTATTGGTCTATAATTGTCTAAACTGAGAGGATCATTTTTTTTATGTAAAAGGGAAATAACTCCTAATTTTTGTGAATTTGTTAACTCCCCTTTATCAAATGAGAAATTAAAAGTTTTGACTGCAAACTCTTTAAGATGTTCCCAAAAAGTTCTATAAAATTCTACACTTAAGCCATCAATTCCTGGGGCTTTATTTAGTTTCATTTTAAATAATGAATCTGTGCATTCTTGAGTGCTTAATAAGCCTTCCATACTATCGCCTTCTTTATCTGTTAGGACATGATCACATTCTGTATTCATAACATAATCTTTTATAAAAATTTTATTGGGATTTGAACTTTTATAAATTTCTTCATAAAATTCCCTTTCAAGATTTAGTATTTCTGTAGGATGTGTATGTATCACCCCCTCTTTGTCCCTGAGTGCTGTTATAGTTTTTCTTGTTTGCCTAGCTTTTTCTAGTCCTAAGAAGAATTTTGTGTTTTTTTCTCCTTCTTCTACCCACTTAATTCTAGATCTTATTTGTGCTCCTTTTGTTTTTGAATCATATAGTTTACCAAGTTTTTCTTCTATAATATTAATTTCCTCTTTAAAAGAGTTAATAACATCCTTTTTACATTTTTTGTTAGTACCCTCATTTAATTTCTTCAATTTGTTTTCTAAAATATGTATTTCTTTTACATTATTTTGTGCTTTTCTTTTGCAGAATGCTATGGTGTGGTCTTTAACCTCAGTTTTAAACAGATCCCACTTGACACCAATATCATTGGTGAGTAATATTTTCTTTTCATATTGTTTGATTAGAATTTTGATAAGGTTTTGATATTCTTCATTTTCTAAAATACTATTATTGATTTTAAAGTATCCTTTACCTTTTTGGTCTGATCGACCTTTTATCTTTATTGAAATTGCCTGATGGTCTGTATGAGTTATAATAGCTGGCCTAATATCAGTAGATTCTATTTTAGTTCTTATTTCAGGACATGTTAAGAAAAAATCTATTCTAGATGCTTCATTTAAATTATTTTTACGTCGCCAAGTAAATTGTATTTCCCTACTATGAAGCTCTCTCCAAATATCATTTAGTTTTTGGGTTTTAATTAAAGATTTAAGGCTAAATACTGGTTTTGTTTGTTTTGATTTTTGTGTTGACATTTTTTTTTGTTATCTATTTTTGTTAAAGTGTCATTCATATCTCCTCCAATTATAACCATTCCTAAACTATTTTTTGTAACTACTTCTTTAACTTTTTTGAAAAAAATATTTCTTTTTTTAGGTATATTTGGTGCATAGACATTTACTAAGGTGTAAATACTGTCTTCAATTTCAACATTTATTAAGAGTAGCCTGCCCTCTTGGTCTTTGGACATATTTATAAATTTGCATTCTAAATCGTTATTAATAAAAGTTGAAACTCCTCTGGACTGTGAGGTTCCAAAGCTATGATATTGTTGACCTTTAATTTCAGAATTTAAGTCTTTCTCTAAATCTTCAGTGAAATGACTTTCCTGAACAAACAAAATATTACATTTTTGATATTTCATCCACAAATATAATCTATGTCTTTTATCTTTTACTCTGAGACCTTGACAATTTAAAGAACATATATGAATTGTTTTTGTCATAAGTTTTTGTTTGTGTTAATATAATATGTCTATTTGAATGTTTATTGAGCCTACCCAACAACATTCTTGTATTCTCCTAGTTCTGATTATTCTTTTAAATGTATACACATATTTCAATAATATACAATATTCATTTTGCATTAATACACAAGTTAAAAATAATACAAACCAGAGATTTTCTAATGAATTTGTTACAGAACATTTGATTAAAATCAAATACACATTATCAGAGACATATGTGTCTCCAACATTATTAGGTCTATTACATTGTGATGCTGTGCAAAAAATAATGCTGTGACATGTCAATTTCAATATTGTAAACAATTGATTTCTTTCATTTCGTAACACCTGTTGTTTTCTATTTTTAGACACCAGACAACGTAGCTGAAGAAACAATAGTAATTGGATCTTATCGTGTAAATTTTGGAATAGTGATTTCGTAAAACTTGGTGTTCTATTAATGGAAATTGAGCTCTGCGTATAAAGAATTGACATGCTTTGAACAGGAAAAAGTAAAAGGATGTAATAGCATATTACTGAACAAAAGGAAAATAGACAATGACAGTTGTGCGAATAAAACGGATAAAACGATGTGAGCTTTTTTGGGTAATAAATTGTAGAGTTCAATATCTGGAACATAAACAAGATTTTACCTGTTGGACACAGAATAGGTACTATTAATAGATTTATTTTTTCCCAAGATTTCTGTTTTCTCTTCTTGGGAGTAATTGTTATAAAATGTTTAAATTTCTGTATAATTATTATATTTTCTTTTCTATAAAAAAATATATTGTACAAACTGCAATTGTTTTGTATAAGATTAATATAATTATAATTAAAGTATTTTAAGTTGACATACTTTTGTATTCTCTTATACATCATTTTGTTTGTTTCAGATTTGACTGATTTATTTTCATCCACATTTGAATGTATGTAATCCTCAATTACATCACACTCATTTTTATTTTTGTTTTTTTTGTTATATAAAAACAGGCTAAATATTACAATTATATACAAATATTTACACTTGTAGTTCATTGTTGATTTATTGTATTAGGTTTATTGGTTTGGTTACATTTCCGTTTACAGCTGGCCCTAAGTTTTTGTCTTTTGAATAGGGACAGCTTCTTTGTGTTTGATTTCTGTTGGCGTGCTGGCATTTCTTTTTCCATTTTTTTTGGCGGCCGGGGTATTGGTATTTTCTGTCTGTCCCTTGAAATATTGCTCAATATTCCCACCGGGTTCTATATTTTTTTTCTTCTTTTTATGTTTTGGCTTTTTTTTTTCAACATTTTCTCCATCATTCACTATTTCTTGATCGCACTGTATTTTATCTTGTAAATGGTTATCACCTGATTGGGCATTTTCTTTAGCATGAATATTACCAAGGACATCACCAGAGTTGGAAGGCTGAGGTGCGTCATGAGCAGGCTGGACTTCAGTGTCTTCTGTGTCGGCATCATTGGCATCTGATTCATCTTCACTAGAGGAGTTGGAAGTGTTTAAATCTTCAGGACAGTCGGCCTGCCTGTGACCAGGTTGTTTGCAATGTAGGCATATCCAATCGTTAGGACATTGCATAGCCTTATGTCCTGTCTGTAAACACTTTCTATTTAAGAAGTTAATGATTCTTTTATTAAGTAAAAGTATTGACCAAAGCACATTTAGTATTAAACGAGGAAGCCCTTCATATTGAAAACGTGCTCACAATCAATGCTTTTTCAAATTCAATTAAATCATAAAAAGAAGCATTCTATTCTTATAATTAGGAAATAATTTTTGGGACTTGAATTTATACTAATTTTCTTACGGGATTGACCTTTATGCTAAAAATTTTACGACGGGCAATAGCGAAGGGAAAACTATCGACGTAAAGGGCAAACCCGACTCAAAACCAGTATAAATCATACCCCCAGTTATTTGGCATTTTTTTTCGTTTGAATTGAAGCGATCTAGGTGAACTGCAAATTTATGCTGTTCCCGGTAATTAAACACACTAAAAGAGTTGACGTAAAATACAAAGAAAACTGAAAAAGGTACATGCTTAAACAATTTCAAAAACATACTTAGACAGGTTTCGACGAAGTTAATTGAGTACCTTCATGCAATTTAAGAAAATTGGCTTTCAACATTCATTTATGTTTTCAAGACTTACAGTTTCACAATCGTGCATTTTCCAGTCTTATGCTTACGTTAGCGTTCCAGAACGTTATTGACACCGTATGATTTCACCTCTTCAAATTATGCATAATATAGATTGGGAACTTTGTTTCACTAATAGAATAAAACTGAGCGAGACCTTTGATATTCTCTAACCTTATTTACTAATGAAGGAGTACAAACCTTAGCCTTGTTCCAATTATTCTTGTCATTACTGAAGAAGTAGCATTTATTTTCGTTCTTAAACCATCCGTTTTGGCATTGTAATGAACCTAAAAAAATTGCATAGATTCTAATAGTAAATTAATATAATTTGAGTTTTACAAGCAAGACGTATTGTAAATGTACTAAGACGTATAGACATGTATTGGCATATTACGCACCTCTATATGAAAACCCATTATTAATTATATAAACATATCGTTTAAGGACGTTGGAGAAATGATAAAGGGAAAATCCAAGTTAAATGAAAACAACACTCAATGAACAGCTTTTTTGGACAATATAAAACACAATGTCCTAAATTTGTTTGGATGAAGCCATTAAGATTTTATTTTTGCCGCATCATCAAAATTTAATCATTTAAATAAAAGTCATTTACTAGTATTAGGAAAATTTTAAATATTTTTATATATCAGTATATTCCTAACGTCCCAAGATACCTCTGTTTTCAAATAAAGCGATGACAATACATTGGTACGAGCTTTTCATTATCTTTTTTTTTTCTAATATTTTCAAAGCAAAGTGGTTGCAGCAATTTTCCCATAATGTCAATAAACGTACAAGTGGACGAACTATGCAAACACATATAATTCCACATTAGAACGTTGTTTATAATATTTACATATACAGTACAAAACATAGCACAAGAAAAGGGGGAGGGAGAATTAAACATAAAATGAGATAAATTACAGGAATAAGGCTAAAAACCTCATTCTCAATTCATTTTATTACAAACTTCGACAATAAACGTTTCTATAGATGTGTCTGGAAAACTCTGAATGATATACTTTCGAATTTTTCCTTCTTTTGTGTTTTTTTTTCTGTCATCGTTTGATATTCCTTACTGATACATTGTCTTTGACATGTGAAGTCGTGATTAAGACTTTAAATTTCTTCCATTACAATACATATCTTTTTTTTTTTTCTTTTCTCAAGATGAGATGCAGTCAAACTCTCGAAACTTCTATATAACTTGTGACTTGTCGTTGATTTACTTAGCAAGAAGTGTCAAACAACATAACCTAGTACATACTTATCTGTATATGACTGTAAAAAACGGTGACGATGGCTTAAACATTTGTGTCTTCCTTTATTAACTTTAATCATTAATTAACTTTAAAAAAGTTACAAACTGATATGAGTAAAAATCAATTAAAAAGATTCTTAAACCTATGCGTTATGTTATGCATCTACACAAGCAAAGCAAATTTGCAAATGTTCTGATATATCTTTTACTTTGCTAAAGCTGCTACACGTCAATGGAACTAGTGATAGCCCCGTTTATGGTAGACGCATTGTTATATTTTCTCTTTTTGAGTGTAAAACGACCAAAAATCAATGTTTAAATTATATTCATATAAAAGCCATGTGAACTCTGCTTGTTTAACTGATCATTTTACATCTGGTGAAAAGTGGCAAATATAAATCAAATTTATGAGGGAAGATAATCATCTTAATAAATTCTAATGTTTAAGTAAAATTATCTACTTGTACCTGTTGACTTCTTCATTATTAATGCATCTCCTGAAAGTTCACTTTGTGGGCAGCAAGACTCTTCTAAAAGACACTGTCTAGTTTTCTTGTCATAACTAGCGTAGCAGCATGATCCCATCATGCAACACAGAGTACTACAAGCAATGGATGATGTAGTTTTTTCTGTCTTCAATGTTGAACTGCTTGGTATAATTATTCTGTCTTTTGTATTGATAAAACCTTGTTTTTTAGTATTAAGCTTTGCAAGACAAAAGGTTTTCATGAGCAGAATAAAAACAGTAGATCGAACAACACGCAACGTTATTTCCCAACCTTTCATTGTACTGAGTTGAAGTTATGTTTAACGTTTGCTATGTGCAAACTTCTACTTTTCTCAAACGACTAATTCAAATAGCAGGTAGACAAATAGGCTGGGTATATCTTGCCAGACGTAATTAATGATTAGAAAATCATTTCACAGATCTATAACAGGCTAAAGAACAAACTATATATGTTGACTAACATGTAATTATATTGCTGTATATATGAAGATAATAAACGCCTTCGTTTTTCTTATTTGTTGTAAAATTATTTTAATCAAAGAGCTTGATCACTCTGAAGGATACAATCGTCATTGTGTCCATTGATATAGGTATTCTTTTTCAAAAACAATTCATTTGCACATGTATTCGCTATTTGATATTATCTAAACAAAGTCTTTGTAACTTAAAGAAGAATTGCCAATATCTAGAAAAACAGTTTATAATTATAAATGAACAATGTTTTATTATGTTTAAATTTGTCTCTTGGGTTGTAATTATTAACTTGTTCGGTATGGACAGAAAGACTGTGCTTATAGAGGCGCATGTGGCAGTGGTCAATGAAACTTATCTATAACCTTGAAAATAATATTTCTTACAACTTTTTAAAGGGTCCATGTTTTTATCTGGATTATGCATAGAAAGACATTTTAATGAAAGTGCGATGGATCGCAGAAATTATGCACGTTCAATGTCTTTACGAATTTGTGCGATAAATTATATATCTTCTTCTTTCTTTTGATAAATTGCTGGTGAACTTTTATGAACCTTTCTTTCTTTTCTATAATATTTTAAAACTTTTTTAAGCTATTGGGTGGTAAAAAATAGATCACATGCATAAATACTGAGCGTTGATATATGTTGATGCATTTAAACCAATATATCTGGTACATGTACTTAAAAGGAGATTTAAGACAATGACTGGTACAATTTGAATTAAAAAAATATCCTTAAGGGTTAAACTAAACACTGGTTGTTAAGTTCTTTAACTTCGTATTTGATTTGATGTATGAAAAACTTCAATCTTAGACTATTTAAAATGTTAAAGGGGCACTAGCTACGAGATATACAAAAAAATCTAAAGTATTATTTAGTTTTGTTCAATCAATAATAAAGGTGAAATAGTGAAATAATAATTCGCTTTGAGCAGCCAGTATGGTTCAATTTTGTCATATTAAGCTAAGAAACATTGATGATAAATTATTCACTTGGAAGTAAATAATACGACCTCATTGAATCCGTATTCATGTGAACTTCAATTTAACCCCTTACCTAGATGTGGATAATGCATGAAGTGTGTGTGTTCGGCTATTTAAAGGAGAAGAATGTCAACATTGAAAGTGAAACAAAGGTAAATCATTTGATTGACTGATTCGATTCACACAAAAAATCGTTCTTATAGAGGTAAAGACGATGATTAACATATATTTTCAATCTATAATATGAGATTAAACAGACCTAGAAAAATCCACTTGCAAGAGTTTGTCTTTCTCTTTATAACTATATATATGTTTATATCGCTTATCTGACCATCGGAGTTCTTCGGAGGTCAACTTGATAGTTAATTAGATGGCATCAAGACTCAAATACACACGAAACGCAGCTACATATTATCGAGCCCATGCCCTGTTAATTGTTTATTTTAGACTTTTTATAATTTGGATAAATGTTTAACATGGTTAGAAATCAGATATGAGAATTTGATTCAAATCGGTGAACATGAATTTGACAGCTAGTGCCCCTTTAACAAACAACTACGTACATTTATAAGTAAAACACTAAAACAATTTAACAATGAAAAAAATAATTTGAAAATTTTGCTCTATATAGCCTACTGTCTTTTAATCAT